CTAGCTCTTGTAGACCAGGCTGGTTTCGAACTCACAGAGATCCGCCTGCCTCTGCCTCCCAAGTGCTGGGATTAAAGGCGTGCGCCACCACCGCCCGGCAATAGCTGATTTCTTAATAAAGACTCTGAAAGTCAGAAGAGACTGTATCAATGCACTCCAAGTCCAAAAAGTCCATGCCTGCCAACTTAGGCTACTGTAAACACCAAAAACTATCTGCCATAGTTTAAAGAGAAAGAAAAAACTTTCCATGCTACAAAGAAGCTAAAAAAATTCATGTACAAAGCCGGGTGGTGGTGGTGCACACCTTTAATCCCAGCACTCGGGAGGCAGAGGCAGGTGAATCTCTGTGAGTTCAATGCCAGCCTGGGCTACAAGAGCTAGTTCCAGGACAGCCTCCAAAGGTACAGAAAAACACTGTCTTGAAAAACAAAAAACAAACAAAAAAAATCATGTACACCAAAACAACCCCATGGAGAAACTTGGAATGAAGAGAGGAATAAGCAGAGCCAACATTCCTAGAAAGAAACAAATGAAAATTACTGAAACAGTATGTCAAAGTAAATAGCAGAACTTAAGGCTTATTAAAGGGTACTAGTTGATTGAGTCACATATTCAAAAAGACGTTCAAAGCAATACTGAAGAGTTTCTGAGTGACTTGCCATCATTCTCAAGATGATTTTTCTTTTATTTTCTGTAATCAAAAGCTATGAAGATACCAAAATGAATTCATAGGTCACCAAAATTCAGATCACAAAAAGAGAGTAAACTCATGTTGTATCTTTAAAAACCTATCACTATTTTCATCCATTTGCATGCAAAGTTCAAGACGTCATTGTTTTTTACCACTGAGTAGTACTCTAATGTGTATATATTCCACACTTTCTTTATCCATTCTTCCATTGAAGGGCATTTAGGTTGTTTCCAGGTTCTGGCTATTACAAACAATGCTTCTATGAACATAGTTGAACAAATGCTTTTGTAGTATAATAGGGCATCTCTTGGGTATATTCCCAAGAGTGGTATTGCTGGATCCTGGGGTAGGTTGATCCCAAATTTCCTGAGAAACCACCACACTGATTTCCAAAGTGATTGCATAAGTTTGCATTCCCACTAGCAATGGATGAGTGTACCCCTCACTCCACATCCTCTCCAGAAAACAATATTCTGAGTGAGGTAACCCAGACCCAAAAAGATGATTTTGGTATGTACTCACTCATAAGTGGATTCTAGACATAAATAAAGGTCAGTGAGCCTATAATGCATGATCCTAGAGAAGCTAAATAAGAAGGTGAACCCAAAGAACAACATATAGTTATCCTCCTGGATATTGGAAGTAGACTAGATTGCCAGGCAAAAATTGGGATCTTTGGGGTGGCGGTAGTGTGGGGTAAGGGGAGAGAAAAGTGAGGAGGGGAGGATGGGGAGACGCTGGGGGAATGGGATGGTTGGGATGGAGAAAGGGTGGATATGGGAACAGGGAAAAGATGTCTTAATTAAGGGAGCCATTTTAGGGTTGGCAAGAGACTTGACTCTAGAGGGGTTCCCAGGTATCCATGGAGATATCCCCAGCTAGATCCTTGGGCAGCTGAGGAGAGGGAGCCTGAAATGGCGCTATCCTATAGCCATACTGATGAATATCTTGCATATCACCATAGAAGCTTCATCTGGCGATGGATGGAGATAGAGACAGAGACCCACATTGGAGCACTGAACTGAGCTCCCAAGGCTCAAATGAGGAGTTGAAGGAGGGAGAACATGAGCAGGGATGTCAGGACTGCGAGGGGTGAGCCCACCCACTGAGACGGTGGGGCTGATCTAATGGGAGCTCACCAAGGCCAGCTGGCCTGGGACTGAAAAAGCATGGGATCAAACCGGACTCTCTGAACATGGTGGACAATGAGGGCTGACTGAGAAGCCAAGGACAATGGCACTGGGTTTTGATCCTACTGCATGTAGTGGCTTTGAGGGAGCCTAATCTGTTTAGATGCACACCTTCCTGGACCTGAATGGAGGGGGAAGGACCTTGGATTTCCCACAGGGCAGGGAACCCTGACTGCTCTTTGGACTGGAGAGGGAGGGGGAGGGGAATGTAGGGAGGGGGAGGGAAATGGGAGGTGGGGAGATGGTGGAAATTTTTAATAATAAAAAATAAATAAATAAAAGAATTATAGTGAAACATTTTGACGATGATTATGAGAAGAAAAATATTTATCTGAGATATTAATGCCTAAAGTTTAACTCCAAAATTAAAAATAACGTATATTAATTATAAAAAAACAAAAAAACCCTATCACTAAGTCAAGTCTGATCATGTAGGCAATAATATCAGCTATTTGAGAGGTCGAGGCAGGATGAATGTCATCCACTAGGATGACAGAGTGAATTCAAGGCTACCCCGGAAAAATTTAGTAAGGCTTGCCTCAAAATAAGATGCAAAAAGACAGCTGAAGACATGTTCAGTTGTTGGGTGCATTCCTAGAATGAACAAGGCCATGGGTTCCATCCTGAACATCCCCTACTGCCCTGCAAAATTTCAAGTGTTCAAAACTATTTGCAATGTATCTCATTCTTACTAAAATTTAACCCTAATGTACCAAGTATCAGTTATCTGAACCCACTATGAAAATAATATATTTCTCTCTTTTCAAATCTAGTTAATTCTCACTGAAACTTTGGTGTGGGAGGTCCTTCTGTCTATGTGTTGCTTTTATTAGTTAATGAATAAAGAAACTGCTTTGGACCTATAGCAAGGCATAACTCAGGTAGGCAGGGAAGGCCAGGCTGAATGCTGGGAGAAAGAAAGCAGAGTCAGAGAGATGCCACCAGAGGTAGATGTGCTAAAACTTTGATGGTAGGCCATGACCTCATGATGATATACAGATTAATAGAAATGGTTTAAATTAATACAAGAGTTAGCCAATAAGAAGCTAGAGCTAATGGGCCAAGCAGTGATTTAATTAATACAGTTTATATGAGATGATTTTGGGTCTAAGCTAGCCAGGCAGCCAGGATGAACAAGTGACCCCTCCTTGCCACAAAACTTATTTACTCCTTGACTTGAGTGTCAAACTGAAATTGTGTCTTAACTGGTCTTTTTTTCTAAAAGAGGCAGGGTCCAGGAATATTTTTTCACTGTGACAGGGTTCAATCACATCTGCTAACTTCACTTTGTTAAATTCCAAGGTGCTGTGCATGAGCCACATCACCCCACTCTGACAGCAAGACATACAGATGGGTTGGCTGCCACCCCCATGACACACACAATGAAATACTTGTCACTTGTCATCTCACTTATTTGCCTTTTAGGGTCACTGGCATTCCTAGTCTTCCTCATTAAGGCTGTGAATTAAAATATCAAGATCAACAATTATCAAGAAATGCCACTAATGGGAATTATCTACTTGGAATAATCTTCTGCCCATATTTGAATTGTAAATTAAACATGGGTTGATAACTTGGATTGAAATAATTTTCAAAATGAGATTCTTCACCATTACTCGCATTTCATTAATAGAAAGCTTTCTGTTCTTACTATTCAAATGAGACATAATATGCATAAATGATCATGTTTATAAGATAATTGTTATCATTTCAGAGTCTACATGTTGTTTGGTAGAACTACAAACACCAAGTGGGCTGTGATGGGCACTGGGGATTCTGTTTTGCTCATTGCCAGCCTCATAAGCTTCAGTGTCTTCACCCTGGCAATGAGAGCCCAAGACTAATTTTACCTTCACCTAAGTGAGCTGTGAGCTGCAAGGACCCAGCGGGAGACCACAAATGGCCTCTACAGAGATCACAGCTGATTTTTGTAATTTTCTAATAGAAATATAGAGCTGAGGCCCTCTTAAGATTAACTATATAGCCCAAATAAAAAAAATCAAACAATTTCTGACCCCTTCCCCTTTGTGAAGGGCTGAGCGGAAACAGATGCTAAGATCCTGGAGGCATCTTCTTCTGAGAATGGTGAAGGGTTTGGCACCTGGAGGAGCCTAGGCTTAAATGTACCTGCGGCCATTTCAGGGTGCAATACTTGGCACCTGTGTGATGTGCAGAAGACAATGAGCATCTGCTTGTTTTTGAAAAATGGGCGTCTTTCAGAAAGAGCTGTGTGTTCACACAAATGTGAAAATATACTTCAGGGTATAATCTGCTGGGGAAATGCTGGGAGCTTCTCTGGTATCCAGTAAGGTCCATTTTTGATATTGAGATTTTTTGGTAAAAGCAAAATCAAAAAGATTCCCCATTTTATCAATTCTAGTCCAGAACACTTTTTAATTTTGAATGAGTTTTGCTTTTTTTTTTAATAAAAAAAATCTATTCAACTCAGAGATTATGTCCCAAAAGAAGATTTGGAGAGAGGGAATTTATCATTCTTTTTCCCAAGTGAATGTTCACAGAACTCTTAACTATTGTTGCTATAGACATGCATACTAACAGAAGTTTGAGTAGAAACATGAGAATCAACCTCTACATAGACAATGCTGTCTGGTCTTCCATGAAAACCACTGTTAGAGCAGAATGGGAGGACAACTCCACTCCCACTTGTGTCTGAAAGGAACCTAAAGTGTTCAGAGGGTGTCAAGTATAACACATATTCTAGTTATGTGATGGATATACATTGGGTAAGGATGCTGTAATTTCAGCAAGAAAAACAATACAATATTTGATATGTTAAACCTTTTTTGTTCCTCCCAGATGTCAGATAAACATGGGTGAAGGGCAGTCAGGGGGCTGTGGCTGGTTGCTGAAACCTTCCTTGCTTCCAGGTCTGAAAGATAGCTAGACCCCTGTGGTGTTTCACTCTGCTTCTCACAAGCCCATGTGTTTCCTTAGGCTCCTGTGCTCTACAGTCTCGTGGTTTATGTGCACCCTTTTCTAGAAGCCCTGAGAAATGAGAGCACAGTCACACCTTTTCCTAGCCACAGCCTGAATTTCTGAAAGGAAACTCAATCACTCCATTAAAGTGTTTTTAATAAGAAAATAGAAAAGTCCCAGATCAGAAGTTATAAACAATATGAAAGACAAGGAAACCAAAGCATGTGCTGTATTTGATTAATTAGGAAAAAATAGAATTCACATTTAAATGACATATAATTCAATTACATAATAAACATGTAAGCATTTAATATAAAACTAAATAATTCAAATTCCCTCATCCCCTAAGCCTTTCTCAACCCAAAGCCAGTCCCACCTGGGGCAAAGGGAGAGTAACCAACCTGCCTGTGGGAAGCCGTTCCTTCTAAGAAAGACTAACTGGTGGCTTCTCACTCTTCTATCAGGCTCTTTGCAAAAATAAAATTTGTATTTCACGAACGCAAGCAGTAGACTGTGGCGTCACATCACTGTCTGTCTGAGACAGGCTGGATGGGACACTTTCCGAGGACCCTGAGTTCCCATCACCACTGCGGCTGGTCAGAGTTGTATCCCTTTGTCAGATTCAACAGTCTGACCCATCTGTGAAACTAGTGATGTCTTTATTGGTATCACAACTATAGGCTCATTATAAAACCACACAAAGTTGCAACATTGTGCAGGAAAGATTGGTTCCTTAAGAAAATAATTTAATTGCTTGTAGCACTCTCTGGACTCATTTTAGCTGTTGCACAGGTATCTCCTTGCCATACTCTGGCTGTCCACGAACCCAGGGTCCAAAGAGGCCACCTTCGCAGCAATGAAGGAGTGGATACAGTGGAGGACGGCCGTCAAGTCCTGGAACTCCAACTCCTGAGGGGAAATGAAATGGGACTGTGGTCACTGGGAAGATGCCCTGTGGCAAAATTTTAGCAAACTCAGCTCTTTGCACATTCCAAGGCTCTTTCTCCAAATAAGCACAAATACACATTGAAACAGGCAATGTTAAAATTAAGGCAGCATAGCAGGATCCACACAGATTTAAAAAGATTAAAAACTGTCATTTGTATTGATACTCTGATGATGCAGGATGTGTTTCCTTGATCTCCATACAGGGTGACATGCAATCCCTCCATTTGAATTCTTCCTTAGTTGTGCTATGTCTTAGGCAGACCTGAAGATCAGAGTTATGATTTCTGTCTTCACCACAAGCTGGAAATGCCAGGGCTAACAGTGACATTTGGATGAGGGTTTCATGGCGGTGGAGCTGGCTGTTTGCTTACCCTGGTTGCATGTGTGCACGCTCCCATGTGTGATTTGGAATGGATATTTTTGGAAGAACAACTAGAGCCCTGCTGTGGGAGTAGCACACATCTGGAGAGACCTTGGTTCCTCTTCACCCAGTTGTCATGCCAACGAAAGGAAGAAATGATACTCAAGACCAGGGTTCTTTAGGAGATTATGGACATCACCACCATAGAGCATATGAAAAATAACAAACTTCTAGGTCTTACTTCTACACCTTAAAGCTTTCAAATACCAATGGAGATCAGAGGACAAGTTTATGGAGCCAACTCCCTCCCTCTAGCATGGTATCCGGGATCAAATGCAAGTCTCCAGCCTCGGAGCCTTCCACTAGACTCTGGGATTTCCTTTCCTTACATACCTCCCCAAATGAAGTCCCCAGCCCAAACCAGCAAAGTTGGCAATGAGTTTTTAAGGCTCAATGTAAGTTGAACAGTCTTCAAACATCATGATGTTATTGGGAAAATTAATTTTAGTATCTTGGAATACAAATACATCCCAACCTGCTATCCATCCAACAGGCAGAGAAGACATTCTGAATGCATCATTGATGCTTTTTTATCTCTTCTGTATTGGTCCAATGTGGTGAAGAACAGCACAATGCCCTTAAGGTGACTTCATGTACTGATACCCTATTTATTCAGTTTCAGCAAAATTCTATCATAGTCTAATCCACCGAGACAACACCACAGATTAAGCTTCTTCATTTCAGGTGGACAGCCCACTCGGTCTTGTCAGCCCCCCAGTTGTGCTCCTTGAAGCCTGACCAGGTAGGACCTCTGGGATGGGAAGTCAGTCCCCTTCCCTACAGGAAGGATGGATGCTCTCCACAGGTGCTGAAGACCTTCCACTGCCACTGAACCTCTGTGGGTTTTACTCAGGCACTTCTCTCCCTAAAGCAAGGATTCCAAATGGGGGGGAGGCATCCTCTACCTTCCTTTACAGAAGACTCCACCCAAAGGCTGCTCTTGTTATCTTTTCCATTCCTTTTAGAAACTGCTCCTATACTGGGGCTCAGGACCTTGAAGCAACCAGAGAAAAACGGGAGGGTAATGCGAGAAAGAGGTAAGGAGATTTCCCTTGGAAATAACCAAGAAGTTGGGCTGCTGGCCCATGGAGAGAGTGAACCAGCTGGGAAATAAATCCCATGGTGTCATCCCTGGCCATGACAGAAAGAGACAGAAAGGACATGGGGATGGGGTCCCTTATACTTGAAAGCTGTCCTCTACTCATTATACCTGTGACCAAAAGGTTCTCTTTTCTGTCTGCCAATGTAAGAGCCTCTTTTGCATGCAGGTGAAGCTTAACTTTGATTTTACCTGCACGAAAGAATATGTTACTTTGATCTCTTTTTTTTTGTCTGAGTAATTAACAAGACGCTTAGGGTTCCCTTTATATTGCTAAAGTTGTTTCACCGTGAAGCCCTGTACTTGCTGCACAGTGCCACCATTCTGAGTGTTGCAGGATCCATGAGTTACCAAGTTCCTTTGCCCGACGCCAACCATGCAGGATCCACTTGTTCTCCACACACCATGAGATGGTGGTCAGGATTTTTTATTTGTTATGATTTTTCGCCAGAAGAAAGATCAAGTAATAGTCTAGAGCAAACACAAGATTCTTGCAAGCTTAGCAAAACTTGGCTTCAGTCTGTGCCTGCCTCCTGGTAGTTATCACCTCAAGGGGACAAGGCGAAGGATGGAGCCACAAAGCCCACAGCATGTGCGCACTAGCAGCTGGGCTTTATGTATGGGAGCTGAAAATTGCTTTACAAATTCCTACAATTTACTCAATAACAGCACGGCACACTGGAAGCAGCAGCCAGATGGTCACTGGCATTGAGACACAGATCCCAAAGCAGACTTGGTATTTTTCTGGCATAGTAAATTGAAGCCACATCAAAAGATTTTGAGAAGGCTATCACAAGAGAGTGGCTCCATGCGAAATCTCAGTCAAGAGCGTTCCTATCCAGGAATCAAGTGTGAGCTTCTGGAACAGGAGTCAGTGTTGATCCAAATACAGAATCTGAACATGTCACAGAACACCCTTGGTTCAGCCAAGGGACAATCATGATACCCGCCGCTCTGCTTAGATCCTAAGCAGATGCTGCCAGCAGGGCCATCCTGAATTGCACCTTTGTAGTGTTGTTAGCCAAAACCGTGTTTGGCTTCTGTTGAATACGACATCAGGGTGATCCCCGTGCTATCTCTGTGACTGCCTCTCCCTGCTGGCCCTCAAACTGGTGGCGGGCTGCCACTTTCTACCTGCGGAGGAAGAGAATCTGTACACTCGAATAGGAAGTCAGACAGCAGGGATATAGCAACCTCCTCCAAATTTGTCTGACAAGCCTAAGGTATATATGATAAAGATACTTCTTTTTTTTTTAAAAAAAAAAAACAAATTTGGAGATAAGCAGGGAAAGCCAGATAAAATCTGTAACTATAGACTGCTGTTGCCCCTTCCCACATCAGCGAGGCTGTCTTCTCCAGGAGTGACATAAGTACTTTTCAAACATACTTAACATTGTAAGAATGGGGGCCTCCAGATGACCACTGACCACCAGTGCAACGCAGCCATGAGAAGCCAAGATTAGACTAAAACCTCCTGATTCTTGGTGGGGTGTGATGTATTATACTGTTTTAAATAAAGGTACTTCTGCATTTAACTATAGCTTGTTGTCAGAGGAGCCCACTCTTCAGTATTGTTCGGTTTCCAAGGTGAAGAAGGCGAATCTGAAAAGAAGCCCTAACTGATGACTTGTGCCTGCTTACCTGTGCCAGGACAGGCTGGAGCTGAGTTGATAGCTAATGTCTCTGACACAGAGATGTCACCTTGGAATTCAGACTCTGATTCCTCCATTGGCTGGCTGTGCAGGCACGCAGTGGGACACTGTCAGTTGCTCCCAACGTTTCTGACTTTGGTTTCTTGCTCTGGTGTCAAGAATCTTACCATGATTGTCTTTAAAATATAAATGACTTACCACATTGTCTGCAAATTTGCTCAATGACTCTGGTGTGGTTCTGACTAAATATAGCGCACGGTTGAGCTGGGCAGCCAGGAGACTGTTATCCCTGCCAGTGAAACCGTGACCCCACACCATCCTCAGCATCCCTGTGTGATTAACTAAGATGGCAGAGAACAGAGGACCGTCACTAGAGCAACATCAGTATGACATGGATATTATTTCTTTGTCAGCATAATAAAATAATCAGCCTCAAAGCTACAATGTAAAATGAGATAAAAGTCGGAGCCTACCATTTCCAGTTTTCAAATGAGGAAATGGAGTTTTAAAGCAATCTTCCAAAGTGACAGGGGCAATTAGTTGCAGAAATGTCACTTGTGTCAGGGATCCAAGAAGCCCCATGGGCTTCTGTGCTGTCCCTGATAGAGTTTTAAGAATTTGGCACTGTAGTGTCAACATTACAAGCTGTCTGAAAATGGGAGATACCACAAGCAACCCTGCATCGCCAGGACTCCTGCGAGTGTCCCAAGGGCAGAGTTTCAGCTTTACTCAACCTCCTCACTCTCTGGCTGTCTCTGTCCTGGAAATACCCTGAGGACTGGATGTGCTGTTGAAGGGACACTCAGATGCCATCAAATGGGAGGAATAGGGAACAGGGCCAGTAACCCTGCAAAGGTGCCGAGGAATGGAGGAATGGAGGAGGTGATTTTGATGGTACGTTCCCATGCGTATCAATTCTTGAACAAACAATTCTGCATTTGGGCAAGGGTATGGATGGAGGCATTCCAGAAAAAGACAGGAACTAAGGACCAAAAGCAGGTGGTAACTGTGGGTCTGTGTACAGGTAGCATCAGGGAGAAAACGTGCTGAGTAGGTACTGGATGTCCCTAAGCTCATAGCACAGAACCACAAACACCACTCTAAGGACAACCCTCCAGGAAGCACAGGAAGCCGTGGATGGAGGGTGTTTAGGAGAAAGACAGAACCGTGTCTGTAGGGCAAGGACACTGGAGACAGAAGGGAAGGCTTAGGGATAGGAATTCCCTTCAGGAAAGGACAAGTGTCCACGAGAAACGATGAGGGCATGAGCAAGACCTAGAAAGGAAGGAAGTCAACTTGGAGAGGGCAGATATGCACAGGGATGGGGTTGGTGTTGTTGATACAACCCAGCTGAGAGACCTCCAAAGACACCAGGACTGTACTGAAAGGGGTGTGCTCCAGAAATGATGAGGTAACCAGTGGAAGATAGGTAGATAGATAGATAGATAGATAGATAGATAGATAGATAGATAGACGATAGAGACAGACACAGAGACAGGGACAGAGAGACAGAGATGCACAGAGAGAGACAGATAGATACACACAGAGACAGAGAAACAGAGAGTCAGAGACAGAGAGAGATACACAGAGAGACAGAGAGATACACACAGAGACAGAAACAGACAGAGACACAGAGAGACAGAGACACACAGAGTGGGAGGAAGGAGCAGGAAAAGAAGGGAAGATCAGCTCAAGGCACAGACTGGAGCTGGAGGAACTAATAGAGAGTGTAAAAACAAACCACTCTCCTTGAATGAGTCTCCTCTTCTCACTGCGTTTGGAATTTACT